GATTATGCGGCAAGTCGTTTTGAAATTTCTGCAGTGACATCTGGATGTTACATGCATGCCGGTTACCGCCGAGGGCACCGTTGGGCAATAAACATTTACGATTATTATTTATGCGCCGCGACCGCATCACGTCCTCGTTTCTGCCCATTGTTGCGAAACTTTGCGCGATCTATCAGAACGATAAAAACGTCTCACGACAGCACTTTTATCGCTATCGTTATTATCGCTATCGACGTTAGGCGACCTTGTTGGTTTTTTTTCATTCGATAAGACAGAAAGGGAGAAAATTGCGCGATTGCACAGTACAAAATTTTGAATGCGTAATCGATGACGTGAGGAAAGAATTATTTTGCCTTGAAATAATTGTTAAGATAAAACAACCGTTTTCTCGTAAGAGCTAAAGTTTGAGCAAAAGAAAGACAATAAAATTCGATCTATAGGTCATTAATTTGAAACATGCCGGTGTCACAATCGAAATGCCTTTCCTTTTCACGAGCGCAAAGCTATTTATATCTGTTGACTTCTCGATGACTGACGCTCTATAGGAACCTGTTTGTCCATTCCCCATTATCTCTAACGGGCCAAAAGTTATGAAACTTCACGATAGAACTATCGAATATCATTTAAGCATACCGAAGATTTCGAACATGTCTCTTCGTAATGTATAATCTCACCGATTAATTGCACTTGTGTCTCTTCGAATAATGTTTTTATGTGTTCACACAACAAACTCACGTTCGTATCACTGATACGAGCGGATTAAGATCTCACGACGCGCGCTTCTCTCGCGCGCGAATTCGCATTGACGGTGGTAATTTATTTACGCGACGAGGATCGCTGATTGTGAAAACTCTCGCAAGGATCGTTCGTTGTGACATGATAATTTAACTCTCGTGACAGGGAAGATAGCGTGGAAATCTCGTATCGATCGACACACGCGATTTTATACGCTTAGAGTCAAAACTCCGCAGCGAAACGACGAAAATTCGAGCGATAACGTGAATTTTATTGCGCGAATTCTCCGCGTAATCGGAATACCGCGGGATAGCGAATGTTCCGTAATAGCAATGCGCCATCGTAATTATTGCTCTGGTCTCGTGTGGCCGGTCGCGGTAGCTTGCATAATGTAGAAGACAGCCCGGCATGAAATTATAAACATCAAACAATCATTAATTCAATGAAAGCACCGGTTGCGGGGAATTTTAATAATAACTCACGCTGATCGCCCGCCTTACATTACGCGTTTTTACACAAGCGGCGATAACATTCCGCTCGCGTATACCGATGCGAATTATTTCCTCGGAAATTCAACAACGTGCGTGTACGCGCTTTTATAATGATTTAATTATAACCTGTTCGGAATATAAGTGGGCGAGGCTGTTTATTTTATAACTTTATTAATAATCTTCCGTTAAGCATAGGAATACGACGCCGAGTATTTACGCGATAATGCGTAAGGGCGTAAGGATAATAAAGCCGTCCCGTCCGCATAGACTTTTTACGCATATACAATTACGATCATCGTAGCAAGCGGCAACGTGGAACGTCATATTTTTTAACAAGCCGTGATAGTATCTCTCGCTATATCTGTCCGGTTTTAGAATTAACGTGTCAATTTATATTCAGAGGAGAGAGAAGCTCGAGGGAGCGCGTCGCCGGGCCACGTTTTTATTTCTAATCAATAACATTTGCATCCGACCGAGCGGACGAGTCACGAAATCATGTAAATGATAGCGACGCCTTGCCTCGTCAGGGTCGAGAAGGCGGCCGCGCGCCTCCGGCGAGAGCTCTCCGATTACGCAGGTAGCAACGGGTGGCTGCCTGGTGCGCATCTGGGAACGTGAATTCGAGCTACCGTTTCGGCTCCGAAGATTTCTAGCGGCGGACAAGCGTACGCGCGATAAACACACCCGAGACGTCTCGCACGAAAATAGAGGTCGAGGGCGAAGAAAGACGCGGCGCGCTCGGGGACGAAACAGCCAGCAGACGAAGGCTGGGAATTCCAAAAACGCGCGCATTTCTCAAAGAAGCACCGGCCACGGTAGGCCTTCCTTCGAGAGGAAGAGAGAAAGAAAGAGGGGGACGAGAGGAAGAGGCGACGAGGAGGACGCGGGAAACCGCGACGACGTGTTCGAGGATTTATTAAGGAGACACCTGAATCCGCCGTCCGGAATCTTGAAGCCGTTAAAAAGATCGCCTATCCTCTCGCCTGCGGGGTGGACCGCGGGTGCACGGTGGTCGCGAAATTTTATGCAGATACCGTGAGATCGTGTAAATATCGTTAGACCGGTAGGCGACGACAGTTGGAGGGTCCGAGTCGAGGAGGAAGGAGCCAGCCGGTCCGGAATCGGGCCTCCACCGCTCGTCCTAATGACGATTAAACATCCTCGCGCTAATTGGCAATTATAGGGCACGGACGTGGAGAGGACTTTACTTCTGCGCGCGGAGGAGATCTCTCCATACTCTCTTCCTCTCTCTCTCTGTCTTTCAACTTCTCACGTCCCGCGATCGAAAGGGGAACGAAAGAGGAGAGGAGATCTCGGAGTCTACCTGGTGGTAGGTGCTACAAAAGGCACTGTCTCGCGCGACCCGCGCGACTCACACTCCCGTATACCTGTCTGCCTGTGCGCGACAGGAAAGGCGAAGAGGAAAGGGGCAGAGGATCGAGATGGTCCGGACGGAGCGGGTGCCGGCTCTGAGAGAGTTGGACCCAGGGAGAGGAGAAGGGGATAGGCATTATAAGCGCGTCCAAGAGCTGCGAGCGCACCAACGCGTTCGGTGTGTATACACACACGCACGTACGGCAGAACGGGGGGGGGGGGGAGAAGGGGAGGCGAGAGGTGACGACAGCGAAAACTAGTTTATTTGGAACGCGGCTATAAATTAGGATCAGATCGCCGCGAGATAAGAGAGTACCGGCTAACACCCGGTTCCTCCGAAAAGACAACCTCTTTTCGTCCCCCCCTCCCCTCCCCTCCACTCATCCTCCACCCCCGTTCCCACCGCCGCCTTTCTACTCGCGTCCACGTCGTGGCATCCTACAAAGACAACGACGACGAGCGTTCTCCGCAGCCGATGCTCCGCAACCAATGCGCGGCAGCGTCCTCCCGGCGTGCGATTCTCCCGAATCTTCATTTTTCGAAAAGATAACAAACGATAATGACATCGATCTTTCGCAGTTTTATAATTCGTCTCGAATTTACCAAACGTCTAAAATTTTATTTTATTTGTTTTTTTATTTATTGCAAAAATTATCAATAGTATTTAATGTAACCAAATGCGATTATTAAAGACTTGTTACATATAAATAAGTCTGAGATAAATCTTTGATCTAAAATAAATGTAAAATAAATCTTCTTTTATTCTACGTTATCTGCGTTTACAGTTGAAGGCTGATACGCGCTTTCCACGCGATAGTTTCGATCTTGTCAAGCAGATTCTCATCGCCATCGGGCACAGGCGGCGAAGAGACTCCGAGAGTGCCGCCTCACTCGAATCGCTCTCGATTCGGCGCGGGGAGGAAATCGGGAAATGTATTTTCGCGAGGAGAGCGATCCGGCTTTCCTTTACGATTCCAACGAATCAGATAACCGTCAAAGACTCGTGCTCGTACCGCGACGTTACGGATATCTCTCGGGAGGATTCGCCAGGGAAGAATGGAGGAAGCCGAGGCGAGGGTAAGCCCTGGAGATGAATCCCGCGAATCGTTTGTAAGGAAACGAGAGAACAGCCGTTCCGACCCTCCTTTTATCCACGGCCGCGAATGAGACGAAGACTCCGCTTTTCCCGAGACGCTTTAACGATCGCCTCTCGACTATCGCGGACAACCACTTTTCTATCTTCTCACCGACTTATCGATTCGCATGCTAACGCGCTCGTTTTACGATCGTTTAGTCTCAACACTCGTTTTAAATTGAAACTTGAATTAAAATGTTGAAAAATAATAATGCGATGTTTTTTTGACTCACAAATCATTTGAATAATATGATAATTTATGCGCAATTTACACGCGTAGATTTAAATTCATATGTAAATGGCTTATTTAATTTATCGTCACCGCTATATAGTTTGCGTATAGAATTTACGAGAATACTACTGTGGTCGACTGTGGCTCCTATTACGATGCTTTGAGGTATCCATCTTAAAGTTAATCCGAGTCCACTAGTAAGGAGATCCCGCTCGTGAGAGACCTAAACGCGAGACGGGACCAGAGTCGTCCGTTCGGTCACCAACGCGACAGGTTGAGGTGTGTCCGAGTATACTGTTCCAACACATGTGGGCACACACGTATACGCATACTCGTAAAAACCTACGGCCGACCGGTGTGTGGTAAGAGAAAGACGCGGTTAGCCAGTGGTGATTCCATTCACTGATTGAAATCTCCGTCCATTTGTCACTGTCAAGGAGGTGGCGATAGCCTTCTTTCTCCCTATTTCTCTATCTGTCTCTCTCTCGGCCGTTGCCTTCACCACCGCAGACTACCCACACGCCCCACTCAATGTCCAATACCATTATTATTTTAACTCGGCTCGCTACGGCTTAACGACCAATCGACACGCTGGATATTAATTTCTTATCGATTGTTCGCCAAGTGTTTCGGCCGCGCGCGAGTTTGACACAGCGGAGCAACAGCAGTCCGTCGCGCCTGGCGCGCCTTTCGCCGCTCGCGCAAGCGAGAATCGTTGTATCGATTTTCGTGCCGATAAGCCAGTCTCATGTACCGTTGCTTCGGACAACTTACCTTTTCTGCCCCCTCCCTCCCCCTCGCCCTTGCTCATCTCGCCGAGACTTCTTTTTACAGCCGAGAGTAAATTGCGAACATCGCCCACCGTGATATTAATGCGACAGTAATATACAGACCGACCCAGAATTTTAAGTCGATTTTTCTGTAGCGGAAATTTCTCGACATATATACGCGCGTAGTATTTTTCGGCGCAACAAAAAAAAAAAAAAAAGACAGACCACGCCGAAGACGAAAGAATATCGTAATTGTGACTTACTTTGAGAAAGACGACGATCGTTCTGGACCTTTGTGCGGGCTCTTAGACGGGCGACACGAAGCCGCTACCCATTGATTGCGAACTGAAATAAATAGAGCATACTTTTTAATTCTCTTTCTCATTACTTTTTATATATTTATATTTGTATATATTTATTTTCAATAATTTTTTTTCTTAATTGCGATTTATTGCACGCCGATTAATATTCATGACAAAATTACAGGTAGCAGTATTTTTCGATAGTGTTTTTTTTTTAACATTGAATAATGCTTTTCGCTCACCCTTTGTAGAACGGTTTGAATGCGGTGGTAGCTTCCGTGGGTGGCAGGCTGGCAGTAGTTTGATGCTGGTGGAGAATAGAGTTCTGGCCGACCGGCGAGAAATCCTTGTGTGGCGAGCTCTGCATTCGCGAGCTGAAGGACGACGCGCTGCTGGCCGAGCCCGAGCTCGTCGATAGATAACCACTGCCAGGATGATTCGCGCCATAAGGATTATTGGGATTGCCGTTAGTCGCGGCGCTGGCCGCATTACCACCAGGACAGTAACCGCCCGGCGGTGCTTGGATCACTCCGTTCGGCGTGGCCACCTTCATGTTGGGCGGTGTCTGAGGTGGAGTGTCCGTACCAACCTCGGGAAACCCCGCCGCCGCGGCTGCCGAGGAGGACGCGCTCGAGCTCGAGCCTGACGAATTCGGATTGTAATGGAGCTGACCGCCGGACGAGGACGATAGGAAACCACCGTATCTCGCGGCGGCGCCCGAGTAAGGCGCCGTTGCCGCCGCCGACGGACTCATTCCCGCCGACGAAGGCAAAGCGAACGAACTTCCTAAGCCTCCGCCGCCCCCGCCGCCCCCACCGCCGCCACCGGCGGCAGCCCCCGCGCCACCCGGACCGAGCCACGGCTGTTGCGAGTGATGATGGTGCCCTTGATTCGGTACGTGATGCTGCTGCTGTTGCGGATAATGTTGCTGCTGATGCAGATGATGATACTGCTGATGGTGCGGGTGCGAGGGTGGCGGCGGCGTCTTGCATGCCGCCGTGTCCGCCAGTGACCAGATTTTCGGTTTTGTCGCGGGAATCGGCACACCGCCGCCGCTGCAATCCGGCTTCATGCCCTCTTCTTTCAAATGATCATCGCCGTAGCCTTGATGATGATGATGGTGATGCTGCATCGTGTGGTGAAAAGGATGCTCGGTCCGTCGGCGATCGTCCTCGAGATCCAAATCGTCTTCATCGTCGAGATCCTTCTCGTGTTGCAGCAGCTCAGCTTTCACGTGTCTCATTGGCTCTGAAAATAATTCGGAAGATTATTTTTTATAAATTGATCAATTAAGCGTGTGTTGCAAATAATAAAAATAAATACAAAGCTTAAGCTACTGCATAAAATTGCGTCGTGTTTCACACCGAAGACAGTTCGCGAAAGTGGATATATACGAGAAATATAGGCATTAATGGTTTATCACGCTCGATGCGCGAGAGTGAGATGTAGAACGCGAGTCATCGTAACGGGATTCCGCCGTCGTGAAGGGTCGTCGAGCGGGCGAGAGTGAATATCTCCCTTACGCCCTTATACAGTTAAGCTGTAAGGGATGCTGTGAAAAAAGGGAGCGAAGCCTTCAACCACTTTGGGGCGCGAGAGATTTCAGTCTCTCCCTCGGGGCAGCGAGCGAGGAAGATGCGCGAGTGAGAGAGTGAGCGAACGGGAGAAAGAGAACCATATCCCTCTCCTTTTTCTCCGATCTCTCCCCGTCGCGGCATCTCCCGAGGCACTCCACGGATCGTCCCGACCGTCTGCCAGCCAGGCAGCCACCGAGCGAAGCCAGCCAGTCAGTCAGGGGTGAGAATTTCATTAAGAGGTTCGAATGTGTCGGCAGAGGGTTTACTTGATGGGTCGTCAAGCGATAATTCCCAAGCTCGAAGGGCGTGCTGTTATACCCGGGAGTGTAAGAGAGACTGAGAGAGAGAGAGAGAGAGAGAGAGAAAGTGAGACGAGAGAAGAGGGAAGGAGAGAAAAAGAGAGTTTCGGTTTAGGGCGTGCGCATCCCCCCTTATAAAGAGAACCTTATGGGCCAACTAAATAGATACTACCGTCGAGTCCACAAGTGGCTCTTTAACTTTTGACCCTCTTTTATCAGACGTTAATCTCATAATCTTCGCGCCGTGTGGGCGGATTCCGCGTTTAAATTGAATAACTAAATCGCATCGGACTCGGGTTTACGGTCAGATCGTCATGCACGAATAAGACTAATATATAATAATTTTTCCATTCCGATGTTTCATCTCGCCGATTCGCGGAAGAAACTGAAACTTTTTCATATTTAACTTTAACGTAACAATAGCAGACGCCGAAAGCCGGCGGGCTTGAATATATTCTACTTGAATACGAATATTTCAACCCTCGCCGCATAGGTGGCTGACAGTTCGTGTGACCTATCTTCCTCAGACTCGGCGTAGAAATTCATGAGCGCGCCGAAAGCTCCCCTTTGAATTTCTAAAGGTCACCGGCACGAAAAGGCGCGCACACGTGTATCCGTACACACACCAGAGTGTCGATACGGAAGCGCTCTCTCGCTACTTTTAGCGAAAGAGGAAAATCGCGAAAATTTTAGACGCAAGACGCCGACGTCGCCGGCTTTCACGCGATCTTTCACGAGGAGAACCAGCGCGGCGAATCAATTTCCCATCGGTTCTCGTCAGTCTTTTCCAGCCGGCGCGCATCGTCGGGAGTGCTCTCTCTCTCTCTCTCTCTTCTCCGCTCGTGCACCGGTCTTTTGAAATTACGAGCCATTGCAGGACGCGTGACGCGGCACGACAGGACCTAGATATCCTGGATCGGGAGAGAGACCGAGACGACGAGAGGAGAATGAGACGAGAGACGAGGGAGAGAGAGACTCGATATTGGCCAATGTGCGGTGGGGTAATGGTGGCCATAGGAGGGTCCGTACCATTCGTCTCGCCGCGGGCGCCGATACATCACCGTACCTCGAACCAGCGTTCTCCCGCGTGTATCTATATACATTCACGGTGTGTGTGTGTGTTTATATACACATATATATATATATATATATATACATATATGTTGGATATATATCTCATATATGTGTATATAAATATATATATAGTGACACACACATATATATATATATATAGTTCCCGCGTGGCACGGAGTGTATATGGTTCTACGGATGGCTACTCAGCCCGGGCGCACCCTCTCCCTTTCGCGCGCGCACACGTATACAATTACGCGCTCCTCTCACAGATTTCCGTGCACACATGCCGCTATACACACCTACACGTTGGCGACGCGCTCACGAGCAAGCAGCCCGGTCCAGCCCGAGGTACCAATACCAACGGCGTCGGCCCGGTCCACCGGGGGACCAAACCGAGGGCCATTAATCTCTTCGCGCGGCAACCCGCAACCCGTCACTGTGTTTACCCACATGTGAACCATTATGTCCGCCCCCGCAATATAGAATCCGCTCCGCGTCGCGCCGCGTGACTCGCCGCGAATTCCCGACCTCGTCGTTTCCGGCCGTTGTGCGAAGAAATGCGCCTTGGAAACGGGAGAAAACCATCTTCTCAGAACGCGAGTGTCTTCGGTATTCCGACCGTAATTTAGAAGAACGAGTCACGACATTCGGATCTTTAATGAGCGTGTATGGGCATGCTTGCGGGGAATTGCGCGAGCTCGAAATGAGTCGAGATTTGCAGTCTGGAATTCTGGAATTGTCGGTCGTAAAATTAACGATCGATGGGCGGCCCACGGAAGCCTCTCGGAAAACTACAGGTACACACAGGCGACAAGGTCAAAAGCGCCATCACTAATCTCTCAGTTGGGGAGTACGAAACGAAGATATATTTGCAAAGTGTCCATGAACGCGATTTTCGAAAGGAAATTTAGAAAATCCTTAAATGCGATTGTCGACCGCCTGGAGCGAAACCGTAAGTTCGTAAGAATCGATTCGTTGCGCGCGAAATGCATACTTTGCGCAATACGAGAAACGCTGATGGATATTCGATATCGAGGAAACTAGTCACGCGAGGTAAACACGGCATCGACATTCCGTAGTCAAAGAGATAGGCTCGCCTTGCTCGCCGGATACTTGGAGAAACGATTGCGGCCCCGGCTAACAATGCTTTTCGCAATATCCATAATCGGATGTTTCTAACGATAGAAGTTTCTTGATAGCACGACGACGGGTTATCGCGGATATTGCATTGCGTTGCCGCTTTTCTCAAGCCATCTTTGAAGCAGGCGCTGTCAGCCAGCCGTTTCGAATATTATTATTATTACTCGCTTCGCCCGGTAATTTTTTTTCCCCGGCAACGTTAGCAGACACGCCTCTCGTTTCATTCTGTTTCACAGTCTTGTTAGTAACGCAAACGGCGAACTAAGATTTCGCGTGTTAATGTCGGCTCGCCCCGCGCGACTACGAGCAATTTTCTAAATCGCGTTCGCAGATAGCGACGTGAAAACGTGACGGCTCGTATCTGGAGGCAGCATCTTACTGAATAATGAATTCTGACTCGCTGTCGGACAACGGATACTCGTTGCGTGGAGAGGAGAAAAAAAAAGCTTACCGGTATCATCGAGGTTCCGTCTCGCCTCCTCGCCGACACGGTCGCCCCTGTTGTCCGCCGCGAGATCGTCCTTTTCCTTATTATCCTCGGAATCGGTGAGCACCGCGTCGTCATCGTCATCCGTCTTGTTCTTCGGCTCCCAGGTCATCTTGTTCTCCTTTTTGAGACGTCTCCGCGCATTCGCGAACCAAGTTGAGACTTGAGTCAGCGTCATCTTCGTGATGATAGCCAGCATAATCTTCTCGCCTTTCGTTGGATACGGGTTCTTCTTGTGCTCGTTCAGCCAAGCCTTCAAGGTTGCCGTCGATTCCCTTGTGGCATTCTTCCGCCGTGCGGCCAGGTCGTAGCCTGCGCCGTACCTGAAAAAAGAAAACGACGGCAGGTTTACAATGAGATTGCCCGTGAAATTCTTCACAAATTTCGTTACGCGCGAATAAGCAGCGACTTATAAACAGGAAGTGCGATATGAAGAAGCCGAGAAGGCTCAACGAACCGTAAATAACATTTGCTTTCGCATCTCTTATTTCCGTCTATTATTCTATCAATTAACTATTCATTATTCAACATAAATATATATATATACATTTATCAATCACTTAACGCATCTATTTCATTCATTTGGAGAAATCTAGAAATCACATGCAAAGTGACACAACCGAGATTGCCAGCCGCGTCCCGATAATAAATGTCAAATGCAATATTAACGATTGAATAAACACCATTAAGCAACGCTCGCCGCTTGCCTGCCAGAAGGTAACTATTGTTCCATATTTGTCGAAACGGGCCACTCCATTCGAGAAGTGGTATCGTGTCGAGGGTGCGAATTCCCCGCAGATTTTGGCAAGTCCGAAGTGCTCTGCACGAGCCCTCGGCTTTCCTAGATCCGTGCTTCTCTTTCTCCCTCTCTCTCTCTTCCTCTTTCTCTTTCTCTCCGCCTTGCTGAACATCAAACCCCTCTGGGATAAAGAGGGTGGGGGGGGGGAAGGAAGGGAGGCGGCATCCTACTGGGTCGAGGGTGATACTCCGGCAAATATATACGGGGAATAAACCCCCCAGCGGCGGCGTGATTCCATCGTGCACCCCCGGCACTCACTCGCCGTAATGGCGATTCGATCGATCCCCTCGCCCACCCCTTTTCGCTCGTTCGCTTCTACCTCTTCCTCCATTCCCTGGTTCTCCCCCGACGAAGAACCCGGCGCGCAAGTATGTTATAGGTGGATACTGTTATATACTACAGGCTAAAATACCTATCGACGATCCATCGGCTGTGAAACGATGGAAGAGGCGCAGCGGTTCACGATGGTAGTGGTGGTTAGCAACGATGTTTTGCCCCGAGCGGAACGCGAACGACGAGACGCTGCTGCTCGTCGGCGGGATGGTGAAAATTTCGTGATATCGACATCGGATGGCGTGATCGGGAAACCAATATGGATAACCGATAGATTTTCAGCATCGCATCGATTCAGTGTGTGAGGACTTTCACAGATTTTGTATGAAGTAATGGATGACTAATTTAAGATAGTTTCGGAATAAGCGAAAGTTTAAACTGCAACGTCAATCAATCGCGTCGCTCAATCTATGATCTTTCAATCCCTGCGTGTTGCGTACAGAAATAATCACAATGACGGATTCTTAGCTTCGGAGCGGCAATCGAGGAACACCATTGAATATAAACTCGCTGTCAATTTCTATCTCCTTTATGTAATCGAATTAGATGAGTGCGCCAGGTAGCAGCCGGATCATTAGAGAAATCGTTCGACATAACACCGGAGGAGGCTGGAAAGCAAAGGAAAGAAAGAGAAAGAAAAGCGGAAATCGAGATAAATCGAACGAATGGCGAATGATTAGATTCCCGCTTTCACTCAACGAACACAAGATTACGCAACCCCCTTCCACCCCATCCGATCACTACGATCCGTATCCAAGATTGCGGAGATGACCGCGCCGATGGGGATGGAAGCGGCAATCCGCAGGAAGCTGACTCGAGGAAGGTGGAGGACGTTTCACCCTCTATTAAACTCCCTCGTACAAGGGAAAGGCGGCCGCCAGGATACGCCGGCAGTAAAACGAGCCTCTTCTCGACTTCCACGTTTCTCTTTCTTTTTTTTTCCTCGCTCTCCTCCGACCATCGTACCTCCTTTCGTCTGCTACTACCGCAAGAAAACAGCCATGTCCTCGAAGGAGTCCTATCGATTTCGATAGGCTGCCGGAGTCCGGAGCGGTTGCGACCATATGGCGATATTCGCGAAAGACAAAACAATAAAACGCACGTATTTATTACGGCGAAAATATTGCGAATTAAAAGCGCGTTGAGCAAGGAAAAATTTCTAATATGTTTGAACATTATTAATAGACATTTTAAAGCACGACATTTTATAACACGTTTTTTGCACATCCCAATTAAGGACAACGTTACAAAATAGAAAAATTGAAGATTTTGTAGAAAAATATCGCGATGAATACGTTTGTGTTAGCTTGCGTTTCGAGTTAGAGGCCCGTCAGAAATCGACAGCGGCCGGCTACGCTTCCAGATATAATCAAAGTTCGCCCCTTCATTAATATGCGCAATTTCGACTGCCTCCCACACAACGGGTCGCGCCGGCGCTGCGCTGCGCAATTATCTACATACACAGCGAGTCCGCTCGGCATTTACATACTAAGTGTACCGTTGCGTGCTAAGAGAGAATCGCTCTCGGATGTATGTATCGACGTGATCGCGTCTCGCGTATGCAAACGGTCGCGATGCAGATGCGACGACGAATGAGAGCGAGGTAAAAACTTGGCGAGTGCGCAACGAGGAATCCAATCTCCCTTCCGCCTCCACCCCATAGCGTATCTCGATCCGGTTGGCTCGCGAAAAATCCCGCCATTATTCGCGCCTGAGCTGCAATGCTTTCGGTAATACAATAACGTCAGGTTTTATCGTAAATTAAAGACGCAAACGGATATATGATAATGCAAGATGAAGAAGAAAAAAAACGCCATTGTTCACAGCATAAATGTTAGGATTTGCTGACGCGCGTTACTTTAAATTAAAACAGCGAATACATAAATAATAATATATATTCTGAAGGATTACTAGGATTACTAAAGAGGCAATCAGATATTCGATAATAGATGCAAGATAAAAAATATTACGTTATCGTTCACACCACAAGCATTTAACGTTCGTTGATGAAATGTTCATTGCTCGAGATATATTAAAACGGTAAATACAAACATGTATATAATAAACACTCGGACTTTTATGTATTCCAAGGAATCGTAAATGAAAGGAAAGATAAAGATCTCTGTGAGCGTTGCACTTACAGTGCGAAAGCTCACGGACTAATAGATTACGAGTGAATGACATTATCTGCCGTCATAAAATTTCTCGACACGCTCTTATCGTTTCTTTCTCAATGCTGAAGTGAAACCGCGCGACAATTGCCCTTGGAAAACTCAACGTATCTGGATTTCTATTACACGATTTGCCGAGAAACGCATAGATCAGACGTGTCTCAATGTTTGTGTGTATTTCCTTCGAGTTAATCTTTAAAGTAGCACTTTAAAGTAAAATGAGTAATTTATTTAAAAATAACTTCTGCCTTTACTAATCTGCAATTAATCGTAAGCAAATGGAAATACTTTTCTTATTGCGAGTCAATCAAACTGTCGATCGAGAGGCCAGTAATGAAATGTTGACGTCAGGTGCATCGCGATATCGGACGCAGCAAATTGATTTCGCGCAATAAACTCGCAGTTATCGTATCGCCGCGCATATTTTTGCGTAGCTTGGAGATTAACGTCAATTTGGAAGCACGGTACGCTCGTTCAAAGAGGGGAGGGGAAGTGAAAGGGCAGAGAGAAGCGTATTATATGCGAAACAAAATTGACGGTGGTGGGGGAGGTGAAACGGGAGGATCGTCGAATACCTACAGCGAGGTAATAACGATGTAAAAGGGTGCATAGAGGAGCGCGTAATACTAGACACCGGCAGCACTCGAGCGACTCATTAGAGGCTTTGCATATGGTGGCGTCAACCTCGAAAGGTTAACCAATATTGGCAGAACGCGCGTAATTACGTCCTCCAAGCCTGGTATGGCGGTGTATATATAGATAGCTTCAATAGTTACGCCCGGGTTCGGATGTGCAAACGTTTCCTACCAACCAACCGGCACAACCTCCGCCGTCTCTGTCTCTCTTCCTCTCTCCCTCTCTCTATCTTCCTCTGCATCCCATACAATTGCGTATAGCTTACGGTTGCGTCTGCTCCACAGTATCGCCGACAAGATCCGCCCCCCCTCCCGTACTCGCGCCTGATCGCTGCGTTCTACGACGGACCGATGAGCTGTCTAACGTCTAATCATCGACTTTACAGCTTTCTCTTTGCTTCAAGAGAGGCGATAATAGAGAATGCAGGTATTTTGATAAGCAGGCAAATTACGGAAATATTTTACGTCCAAGTAGTTTTAGCAATATTGAAAGAAAATAATGAAATAGAAAAATAAGGAAGCAAAGCAATAGAAATCAAAATATTGTGGTACTTTTAATGTACATTGTAGTGGTAATAATTTTTAATTAGAAGCGATCTGGAATAGTATTGCTCGAGAAATATTTGTTGCACAATAGATCGATTCGATTTTAATCAAACTAAAATCTCGAGAGACCTTTTCACTTTGTCGGTCAGTAAAATGTATCTTGTACGCGTTCTATACGTCGACATGTCAAACGATTTTTCTAGAATTACACCGGTTCAGGCATCTTTCTCCGGGCGGTAGACAGAAAAGACGCGAATAAGTAACTGGTTACGGGAAATGAAAAGCAATCGTCCGGGGGGAAAAAAGCCGCGCATTTCTATGATCCCAACATAGTCAGCGTCTGTAAGCGATTGCCGAATAAAAAGCAGTATTTCCTGATTCGGATAAAATTAAGTTAGTACCACCACGCATTCGCTGACACCGTGTCCTATTTTTTAGCGAGCAAAAAGCTCGGCGGCATTCAGTTGCAGCTTCGTCAAACGTACGAGATTAATATGCTGATTCAAATACGAGAGAAAAAAATTTTTATTTTATTTGTGGCATTGTATATTGAATTAACGTTTATTGAATGACGAATATCTGACATTTAAATTTCCATTTGACGACTTGAGCATTTGCTACATTATCTTATTGCACAGAGAATAAGCAGACGTGCTCATCCATCACTCAATAACGGAACAGTAAGGCTGGAATATGCAACAGCGCGTAGAAGAACAGAACTCCATCCAATTTACGCGAAGACAACACGAAAAAAAGAGATACTTCTGCACGTTCGAAGTGTCCCCAAAGGAACCCTTTCGCGGGAGCCAGTAACGACGTATTTCTCATTTCCTGTAATCAGAGCGTTCGCGGCGGAGCGTCCAAATCGAGCCGCTTCAATTTACACTCTCCGCCCTCGCGCGCGCGCGCGGCACCGAGCGCCCTTCCTTGTGTCGCGACACAACGCGGTCCGCAACTTTCAACGCCGCCCGGTAAAACAATAGCGGCTCGACGGCTTCGAAAGTGACGGGCGCGTAGTAACCCGTTAAGGGAAGAGTGCGACCGGGCGGAGATGAGGGAGAGACGGACGAGAGAGCGGCCGTCGTATTATTAAGCAAGTAAATTAATAGAGGCTTGTCCCGAGAGTGTGGTGAGAGTGCGAGACAGTAAGGGCGCTGAATTCCACGATAAACAATGCCTACCGTCGGAGTTTCTCTGGTAGGCGCCGCCACCGCCACCGCCGCCGCTGTCGAGCACATGCAGACTATACACCGCGAAGGGGTGGCCCTGAAGAGGGAGGGAAAGGCCTCCCGTTGCGTGAGTCACAGCGCGCCTGCCTATGCGTGAACGTCGGATACAAGTGTACGTATGTATGTGCGTGTGTGTTCGCCAGGCGGACACGAGGGTTGCTAAGCGAAGCAAGTAAAGCACCTGTGGGAGCCGACTCGTACGGAGGATACGGAGGCGGCCGGGGAAGTAGTCGAAAGGGAGTAGACGCGGGGGTGTGTTGTAGAACGTACGTGCGAGGAAATGCGGGAAGGCAGGGAGCTGCAGGGAGGCGGGAGAAGAGAGAGGGATTTAGAGGCAGCGAGGGAAAGAGATAGAGACGGAGATAGAGCGGGAGAGCGCGGGAGTTCGAGAGTAGAGTGGAGAGTAGAGCAGAGAGGCCTGGCGAACGGGGCGAGCCAACCCCGGGGAGGAAGCCAATCAATAAACTCACTCACTCGCTCTCCTACGGAGAGAGACCTACTGCTCTCCCTACGCTCGCGATGTGGCGATACGCGTCTGTGTACGTGTACGTGTGTACGTGTGCTTTCAATGTATGTACGTACACACGTCCAACCTGGAAGCCTCCATTATATACGCCCACTCGGCTGCCTACAGCCATTTTGTAGCCGTCCGTCGTGTTTGGCCTAACTCGAGCGCCGGTACCTTCTCAACCCCCTTGAGCTCGACAGAATTCGGAAATCGCGACAACTATCGACCAAATGCCGAATCGGCCGAATGATGATTATCAGATGTTGTCTTACGCAGCTACATGCCACCGATTTATACAAATGGCAAATTGCATCTGTTTATTCTACCCGCGAAGATTACGCGGACGGATGCACACTCGTTGCATCGCATATTACAGTTAACGTAAAAGTTATTTTACGCTGGCCCTGGTTTCTGTTCAACGATGAATAGTGTCGCAGCTCGTCTTCTCGATATGACCATCGTAGTTTTAACGGTTTATACGCTACAACAAGCGGCGCATTTCTCCAGGTGCACGACCAAGGGGGAGAGATATTACGGATTCGCGATAACGATAACCGTCGTCGCGTGGAAACGCTTCCAGCGGAGTATACCGTGGCGAGCACGGCGGGATCGTGACTCTTGTTTTAATGGCAGTGCGCGGAGGTAACCGGGAGAGAGACGGGGAAGTGGGGAAGAGGCCGGCTCTCGGCGCTCTCCCGGTGGTGGTTTAATCTAATGGAGCCGAGAGACCATGAAACCTGGCGATAAACTTACCCGTAGGCGGCTAGGGTTGGATCGTAAGGGTAGTAACCCGTGGCGGCAGGTTGAAGGGCGGCCGTGCCCCAGGCAGCACCCATGTCCGCCGTCATGCCCATCCCCGTCGCGTCCTTTAGTCCGTACGGATTACCCTGCAAGAGCAGCGTGTATGATAAGCGTTAATTTATTTAGCATATCTCTGCATCATGCGTATATATTATACATTCCGCGATATTTTGTAAAAGCAAATCGACAGTTTATTCTTCCTAATACAAATATTTGAAAAGAACTGCATTTTAATCGATATCTATTTTTACACAACACGAACGATTTAAGAGAAACATTGTGTAAATATTATACATCTTACCAATAATATAAATATTAGTGCTATATCGATTTAGAAAACATCATATATACATATTGGATTGTATCGATTATATAGAATATAGATCTAAGAAAATTATGATTAATGACGATATTGATGAGTATGTGGTTTATATAAATTATGTTCAATACGCTTATATTATGGATCGAAAATCCTTTCGGAATTCAATCTGATCTATCTCAATTCTCGCTAATAGATTGGAGCTACAAAGAGTCGTAGCAGTCGTATAAATATAATGTTTCATCTAAACACAGTGAGCGGTTTGTAGCCCTAAGAAGATTATATGAGTACGATAACTGTCTCTGAAAGGACTCTGGAACATCTTTTACTCTTGGTTATACCCTGCGACGGATTAAGAGACGATGGAAGGAGGGGCGAGTCAACCAGGCAATCCTTAAAACATTATCACGGTCAGCTAGTTGGTGCATTAAAATACGACGCGGCATCGTGCCGTCACTAGACACGTTATAAAGGCGCACCGTAAAAGAGCAGCGACGGAAGAAGCCGAGACGGAAATGAATGGAGAAGAGAATGGAGAAAGGAGCGCACGTGAGAAAAGGGAAAGAACGCGGTGGCGCGTTACGCGGCTAATAGTAGTACAAGAGGAATATTATTAGTGCAGCAGCTTAGAAATGGTCTTTGGCGCCACGGAGTTTCGTGTTACATTTAATCGTCGTCGGCGTCCTCGTTCCCAGATTCTTAATTCTCTGCTCGCTCCTACCCCTCGTTTCGATTTTCGAAGGGCCTTATGGGTGTCCTTGGCCCTCCCCGCTGTCTCGCGCTCAGGCCTTCGGTCTCACCTCGACGTGGGCCCGCCTTGGGGAGACCGGCACACGTATCTCCGTCTTTATTTCTCTTCTTTTTCAGAAGCGACTTTAATGGCAAACTGCGGGTGGTCCGACGTCGACGCCTCGGACTATTGTTACGACTCTGCACAGTCACACAAGGTCACCGGTGTAACCGATTATACGAGCGCGTCTGCATTAAAGGTAACAATAATCGTTGTGCACATCCCAAATCTTGCGATGCATGCAACGTATTAGGGAACACGACAGCAAGGTGGCTCTAACTTGACACCCTAGACTTGACGCAGTCCATCAAGCTAATGCAATAATATTTATAATTATTTGCCATATAGACTGTTCACTACATATATTTTATACTCAAAAATATACACAATTCATTTAAAATTCATTTAAAATATGTAACATCGATTATATTTTATAAATTGATATAATAATATTGGTACAATATTTAGGAAAACATAAAATTTCCGATTTTCAAGCGATAATTATTTAAATATTTATTATTATATTATTAACGTTTATACTGTGCAATTTTTCTTTTAAATAAGGACCACCCTACATGTTGTAGAATGTAAGAATCAAGTGCTTACAAAACATTTTCGACAATCTGCTGAGCCATCCATTCGATTCAATGCTAATCCGATTCTTATTATATTACAATGCTCGTCGAAATGACGGTCCACCGACCCGAATCGTCAGGGGCACATACTTCCTGCTTAACCGCCTAATGAAAAAGGTCAAGGAAAAAGAGAGAAAAAAAGAATCACGTCCATAATTGGAATGTTAAAGTATAACCGTTGGAAAGTAGAACGGTAATTAAATTATTTTAAAAGATGTTTTATCTCTACTCTACTTTTAATTATGTAATTGATATCATCAAAGTGTATGCTTGTATGGCTATTATGCTTGTATAACTATATTAACATTGCAAGCATCATATGGCAATCCTTGATATTTCTATCGCGCACATTTTGCCTGCGTATTATGTGCACAATTATATTTAGAATTGCAAGTGACGTTCAGAAAAGCGTCAATCCCGGTAACTGTCCATTTTCATTTCACTGTTAATTAGTCAGTATCAGCATACTACATTTTCCTAATGACGGCATGGCTAGGAAAGCTTTAATTATATTGTCTGTGTAATAATGCAAGCATGTATTAATGAAATGACTGACAGATTGTCATATCAGAATGCGCCACGCGTACCGGGATTATTTTTAATTTTAATTTTAAATATGCGTATCGCATATTTTCTCGAACGATGTTGCTAGAAATCTAAAAAAGATCATATAATCGTAAAAAAATTATTTTTTTAACATTAAAATTTTCTATTAAACAACGCTCAGTATGCGAATGTGAATGCAATTTTTGCGAACCAAATCTAAGGGGATAGACAGAACTTTGGACGATGTATTTTCTCGTCAAAATGCTCAAAATTCCCGGCAGTTTATGGCATTCCAAGCTACATTGTCGTATTGTCGATTCCCCAAGCTGATAGTGACGGTGTGCGCCAAATTGCATCGAAATTCCATGAACGATTGACCGGCTGGTTCGCAATTTATGCCGATAAAGGTGCAAAACTATGACGTCCACTCGTCGCATCTTCTCGGACAAATAGCATTCCTGGGATTTCATTCGATCAGGACAGAATCAATACGCACAAGAAAGGATGCGAAGATGTCACGTCTTTTAGCTTATCGTAGACTCGCCATCAGTCTCAATTACATTGGAACTAGCGGAAACAACTGTTCGCACAGAGTGATAGCCACATAAAAACACCGATAATATTGATTATCACTTAGAAATTAGAGAGGATTACAAAAAAAAAAAAAAAAAAAAAAAAAATTACCAATAGACTTTTTTCTAAAGCTGAGTGCGTTTTACGCATGTTTTTATAGAATCTGATAGATTAATACACGTCGTTAATTACATACTTTTTAAACACAATTATTTATGCGAGATATATTTTATATATTAATATTATATCTTCATTTTCAAAAGTATTTATCGAATATGTTATAAATGTTCACATTTATTCGTAAACATGTTTACTATAAATTATTGTTTTTTTTGCAAATTCTTATCTTTTGCCGACAATTCGACTTTAAATTCCTTTCATATCTCTCATTTGATCATTTAAAAATTATTTTTCTAACTACATGATCGATGTGTTTTACATTAATTTACATTTACTGGTGTGTTCTAAAGCACATAATGAAATAACAAAAAACAAACCAAGTGTAGCTATACGGCTATAATAGATCAGTTTGCTGTTATAGCTTGACTTTGATCACATGATTATGACGTTTGACCGTGACGTCACAAGATCTATTACGCTACTCATTTCACAGGACAATAGCGACAATGTCGGAGCGAGCGAGCATCGCACGTGTATCGCGCGTGTTTTTTGTTTTGTTTGAAGCAAATGCTGTAAATATCAGTAGTATCGAATGGCCGTTAAATTGTGGAGTTTAATTGGTACGTACAGTTTATTGTGCAGTTGCGATTAGCAGACTTTCAACATCCGTGAAAACAATCGCGTCCATCAAGTCGTGTCGGACGTTGCTCAACGAGACTTTGAACATTGCGTGGTTGCCTCCGAATTTTCTACATATCTCGGAAATGTCGAAAATACCGAATAGAGCAACGGACGATGTCGTGGAAAGTAAATTAGCGCATTTAATCGCGATTTAACTTTAACAAATGAATGACCGATTGTTTTACTTCATTTATTCATGCATTCCGAAATATATAACGAAGTAACATGAATATATAGCTATAGTAGATCGATATCGCAATGAAAATGAAATTTTAACACCAATCACTGATCACCATTTGAGCATGACGTCACGACATCTATCTCAAACGACTTAGTTCACGGGACGGCGACGGTAGTGTTAGACGCGAGTGAGTATCATTTTACTTTTCGTTCATGTTTTTTCTCGTTCGACAAATTGTGCACACAAATAAATGTTGGTATTGAGTTTGATGACGGACGATTATCTTGTAGTGTTATGTAATATGCCCGGGCGCGATTAGCAGTCGGTTCCACATTCGGGAAACAAATCGCGTTCGTCGCGTCGTATCAAATATTGCTCAATGAATCTTCGAGCTTCGGTGCAACGTTATTTCCGTCTTTCGACATTCAAACACTTATGATTATAACATTCCATAACTTCTCATGTATCTCAGAAGTGCTGGGAATAATCGGATCGAATACCGGATCGTTGTGGAGAATGAATCAGCGCGTCTGATTGCGATCTAACCTCTAATTCATCTTTTAATATTTATAACGCCAACTAACGTATCTTCAAGCGTCAACATGTCTCCCTTTTTTACATATATCTCGGAATTAGTGGCAGAAGTATTGGTAGTGACAGAAATGTCAAGCAAAACACAAAGTAAAATACGGACGATTGTCGCGTTTTTTATTTGTTCAAGAATGCATCATTCGTGTAATCGTGCTCCGCGAATGCATTGTCAGTCGACGTAGTGTTAGATAAATGATGATAATAATATCAGCTTGTTTCCGATAATATTCGCGTTTGGTAGTTTTTACAATGCTATTTCATCGAACATTATCGCAATGTCGAACTTTTTAATAAGCAAAATTGTTTCGCGTTTGTAATGATTGAGATTATATCGGAATCGTCGTATTTTGCATTGAAAATATATTGCGCTTGTAAAATTCGAGAGTGTCGTGTCATGAATTGTTCGGTTGTATCGTAAGTTATAATAATGCCGTGTGTGTGTGTGTGTGTGTGTGTGTGTGTGTGTGTGTGTGTGTGTGTTTGTGTGTTTGGAGCAACGACGGAGTTAACAATTTACAACGGCGAGTTATCAGTTGGTATATACATTTTTTTAATAATATTATTTAAACCCATTTTTGTAGGTTAATTAATAAAAAATATATTTTTTATGGCATTGTGTAATGCATTAAACTTGATATTTTATTGCAAAAGAAGATATAACACGTGCAAACAGAAACAGAGAAAGAAAATTTTTGTAAAAAAAATTGTGCTTTTTATTAAATTATAATCTTTAATTTATTTAATATAAGGGAACTGATTTTATACACAATTATTTTGTGTCGAATATTTATTTATAGTTATAATTGTTATAGAAGTTTTAATTTCTCTGCAAATTGTCTAATTGATTTTTAATATACATTTAATCGACACGATTTTTTTTAATTCTTAAAGATTTTTCTGTTTATTACAGTCATTATTTCGTTCGTCCAAGTCTATCAGATACTGCAATTCTTCAGCTGCATTCGACATTGGTGAGTCTTACTTTACATGCAATACAATTATATATTTATAATCTGCCTCTCCTTGATATTTATCTGCAATTCACTTGTCAATAACAATAATTATCCGCATGATATATTTCAATTATACATATAAGCGAACCGAATAGTCATGTTAACTACTGCATGATATTTTTTACTAGAAAAGAAAATTTATATTTAAACGGAAATAAGATAAAATTTTTATGAAAACATATGTTTTTTATCAATTATATTATTTAACAGATTTCGCATGCCAATCTCGCTAAGCACTAATTCATTATTTAAATAAGTTTTATTTAATTATAATTGTTTGTTCACTTATTGTAATTATAAAATTTTCAGTTTTTTTTTTAAATTGTCAAATTGATTATTTAATGAAAAGATTTTAATTACGAATCGTTGGAAATGTCATTATCAGCCGAAATTGAATCCAAATGGATCCGAACTTCGTAAATGCAAGGACTTGGCGATAGTTTCAAAATTGCAGAATTAATGTATTATTCACAGATGTACACGTGCGTTACGCCGCGCGCAGCTATACGTGCGCTGCACGTGGCGGTATTGCATGCCAACCTCGCTTAAGTGCCAATTATAAAAGCGTAATAATCCACGATTAAGAAAGGTACGCGTGTTACGCTTATCAATGGGCCGTAAAATAACGCACCGCGATATTGTGCATCGGAATGCTGACGGCTTTCATATTGCAGTAAACAATGTTTTTTTAGTTGCAGGATATTGCTATACTGATATTATTAAATAAATATCCGTTTTATATAAAATATGCATAGTATCATTTAGCATCGCATTATTACGGAATATTAAACATCTTCGTTATTAGACAGATTGCTATCATTTTTTTTTCGCTTATTGGTTATTGCGACTATTTTAAGAGATATATAAAAACTTTCTGTGTCATTATGTTGTCCCTTTTCGCAGTATAATAAGATTATAAAAAATTAATACAACAAGTCAACATTCTCAACATATTAAAGTAACATGTGAAATATGACGATACTGTAAACAATGCCAATAAAGCGCAAAACATCAAAGCATTCTCGCGGAAAATGTCGGCGAATGTGAATCTCAGAATCCGTTACGCCGCACAGTCGCTTTGTGAAATAAGACAAATCCGTCGGCTGATGAGAAGAGGTTTCCGTCTACCATTGCCGTCGCCTATCTCGCGCAGTTACGTCCTCCTCTCATCCTTCCTCGCGTTCGCGCACTCCGTCGCCGCTGTCGTATCCCTCATGCCTCTTTTACGGCATCCCGTATTGATTCTATAAACTCGTTCGCGTTCTACGCGAGAGCAATGAGCATTCGTTTCCTTCCATCTCGTCCTTTTAGCGTCCGCTTTTTCTTTCCTTCATCGCTGATTCGTTTCAGAGAGAGAGAAAAAAAAAGATGAATTCGCACGATAAACGATTCACCAATACCGACTTGTCATATATTAAATATAAGTGACATATAATAAATATTTATAGGAAAATTTTATTTATAGATATGTAGGAACACATTTTTATTTTTAAAAAGTTCCATAGTGTTAATGAAATCGACACATTAAAAGAAATGTGTAGTTTAAAAATACATATTTTTATTTGTTATTTTAATTTCAAATATCCGGTGTTTTCTGACGTAACGTTTGCTATTATAAATCGATTATAAATCGACATTATTAATATCAGCATTGAATTTTTGCTGACCCCGCGATAAATGTGTAAAATCTAAAGATAGATCCGCAAAATATCAAGCTAATGCACATGTGCAATCAACCGAGTGTGTTTAATTAACTGCATTAATCTCGTGATATTATTAGCACGTGAAACTAATTGTGAAAAATAACAGGAAATTTTATTGACTTAATTTTACACTAAGAATCTGAATGAAGCATAGATTTTATATCTTTAGAGACGCTGTGACATCGTTTGACATTAAGTTAATTTGTAGAATAAATATACTGAGTCGATGTTTGTGTACAACACAAGAATATAAAAGGATGGATCATGATTTACGTGAACATATTGTTCAGATAAGAATCCCTCGTATCAACGTTTATCGGACCAGCATACGCTGATTACGCGGTAACATCAAAAAGCTGATGGCTTTTTCAGTCGTACAAATATTGCGACTCGTGAAAATGAAAATGTGCTGTAGAGATAGCTGCACGTATTATCTGATACGAGGTAATGACAAGCTTACGGCACGTCAATGGCACGTTGCTTATTAGTTCTGAAAAAAATTGCCATTACAGATTGATCATGCCGTACATAATGCTGCCATTAAAAGCCGATTTTAATAATGATTGTAATTCCATTCGAAAGTAATATTCTCTCGACAAGTACACTTTTTTTTGTATAATTATAATGGAATTTAATATCTTAATTATTTCGAGTTTCTATCCGTAGCAAATACGTGACAGTTATATGTGACTTGTATAATTTGCTGTTTTAATTAATTTATGGTCATGAAAAATATTTACATAAAATAATTGCTATATTTTAAATTGTGTATATACAATTTAAAAATGGCGTTTTTAAATTTGCACTGTAAATTGCACATGACAAATGATAAGTGTTTTCGAATGGTAAAAGCATTTGTCGGATCTTAACATACGCTGTGTACGAATTATGATCAACTGCGATGAGTATAAATTCTTATCGAATTATAATGTAAAACGGAATTTCTGTAATATCATTAGTCATTATTGTAAGAATTCTTTTTTCCTGGAAAATATTTTCTTTCATAAAGATTCTACTTCTATTTCGAGCTACGCGAAGAACAGATTAATCGATATAACTTCGTTTAAAAGCAATTAATTAGTACAATTATCCCGTCAATTCAAATTCAATTAAGCCAAACTTTTTTCCTAGCTAGAATGTCATCAAATATTCTCATAAATTCGAAAATAATGATGCGCTTGTTCAGTTCCCTCGATTACAAAATTCGAACAAGGGAAATGTATAATCGAATTGTGCCCTATTTTTATTTATACTGTTATATCCTGATGTAAATTATTTTTCTATGTATATTCTATGTATACATAGAATATAATTTCTCTTTTGAAAATAGAACAAATACTAATTTTATAAACATAATTGTGGTCTAGAAAATATTTTCAGTATTACAGACATTCGAAATTACGAATAAAAGTGGCCTAACGCGCGTTTCCTGGCTTTTACGACAGAGTCATTGAAGCAATCCGTGCAAGTCGGTTGAGGAGGATTTTCCGGTGACATATGCGTGCGAATTCGTCACCGGCAGCCCCTTGAAAATGTAACGAGCGACGCGCCTTCCGCGAACGGAAACTTAAGCGAGATTATCGGTCGTTTTTCGAGAAAGGGACGCGTGAATAATTTGACGCAGCCGGTACTCGGCTGCGAAGACGCACGAATTCCTGAGCGCGGGGTGATCAAGAGGCCGTACGATCCCGACGTCCGAGAGAGGGTTCCATCCGAGATTCCAAGCTAATTCGCGGCAACACCACGTGCTAATCCGTCTTAAGTTAATACTGGAGGAGCAATAATCGCCCGGCACGCCTAGTACGACGAATCGATCAATCTGCATCCGGCAATGGCCGTTTTACACGTTGCGGAGCGCGCTGCAGCGCGCGGAACGATCTTTCATAGATTTGACGAAACTTAATATATGTTTTAATATATAGCAACATAGGTCAACAAATTTTTGGTTGTTTAAAATTGAATCAATATAACTTTTGAGATGAAATAAAAACGTAACAATTAATTTTTTGTTTAAAATTAATGTTCAGCAAATATTATAAATGTTAAGTTTAACACTCCATTTTCCAGTAAAATGAAAAAAATTCATTAAGATTAAAAGATTCATAAGTTACTTTTTTAATCACATTAGAGTATGAGTGACTTTTATATTTTATATAAATATTATTACTCTAATTACAGTAAACCTTTTAGTATCACGCAGTCTAGAAGACTGCGTTGATACTTGCCGAGGATTAAAAAAACCACTTGTTTCAATATTCATAATATGATTTATCGTCATAATTTATCGGTAAAAGATAATTAAAAATCGGAGATAAAGAAAAGAAACATACCAATGGTGAGTAAAACGCGGAGCTGTCCATGCCGATGCTAGGATAAGGCCCCTGATCAGTGGTGGAGGGCGTCGGCGTAGGGTACGAAGAGTAGGAGGTCGCAGTGGGTAGTCGCGGATACGCGCCCAACGCCAATCTCGCGGCGCTGTCGTACTGGCAGCTGCACACCGTTTGCCCCGTTACGGGATCCGTCATCATGGGTCTGCCGTTCTCGCAGCAACCTGGTCCGGTGCCACCCACCGGAGTCGTGGCGCCGCCGGTACCCGCTGGCCCGGCCACCGTCGTCGTTGTCGCCGTTGACGAAGGCGACAGGGCGCCCGGGCTCAGCGCGCCCCCCGACGACATCGCCGGCGACGTCGCCGTCGTCGGCTGTCCGCCGCTCACCAGGAGCTGGAAAACATAGGAATACGTAGTTAACATAGTATAATTGCATGCATGCGCAATGTACAAGAGACTTCCATATATTTCCGTGCAAAATTAGTTTTTCCAACTTGTTTCGAGTTGAGATTTCCACTTGATATCTATGCATTTGTGCAGGAACGAGGAACTTTGTTTTGTATACGGATCTATTTTACATTCTCTTCATTTTTCAAAATGTAGAGATACATATAAATAACACATAAAATGGCTCCTTGTAAGCACATATGCATTGACGTATCATGATAAGGACATACATATGTACTACATATGTATATGCCTGTCTAGTTAACTTGCATCGTCTCAGCGACTTCAAAATTCGATATTTATAAATAGATCATACAAAGTAGATCATATATATAATATATTTTCATTATTCAACTCTGTGAGATAAAAAAATGTTTACAATTTTATGCTTTTTTATTTTTTTTTTATTTCTTAAACTTTTCTCGATGACCACTAATATATCAGAGGGACGATTCATTTCTATCTTCTGTTTACTGCTACTTCTTGCTACTTCAATTATTTCTCCACAATTAATAGCCTCGTAAAGCGCGTATAAACAGAAAAGCGTCATTTTCATATGTGTGTGTGTGCGCGCGTAGGAAATCGGTGTTGCCTCGCGCTAAATTAGCCCATTGTAAATGAGAACGGAATGAATCCCGGTAATTAATATGGCAAGGGCGCGGAGTTATTTCGAGAGAACGAGAGGCTTGAGAGCCGCCGCCGCGAGCCGGATTGTATATCCGCGTTGATAAAGCCTCTTCTCTGACTTCTCCCGCATTCCGCTACACACGGGAGAGAGAAAGAGAGAGAGAGAGAGAGAGAGAGAGAGAATCCAAAAAACGATTCACATATATACCTTTCTATTCGTAGACCGTGTCGAAATCACCCACGAAAACGCCCACGGCGTTCGTGGCGTGCGTGACGAATAGGATCGACGAGAACTTTATTCGAACGATTTTCCGTCGCGTTTGAGCGTTCGTCTCACTCGTGAATTATTAAAAGCTCGCGCGCGTCGCCACTTATCAATTTCAACGTCAGTGCGTTTACAAAAATACGGCGACTCGTAGCGAAGTCTCCATCGAAAGTTTCCGCCAAGGGGATCCCTCATCATCTCTCACGACAAAACTGTCTTCCTGCCGTTAAGCAATACCGCAGGGACGATTCACTTCTATCTCCTGTTTACTCAGAAGCTCGCCCATTAATATATGATACTTTTTTTTTCGTTACGATGATGTGGTCCGTTGAGCAGAAAAATTGTGCAATTTATTTTCTTTTATTTATTTCGCCAAACAAACAAGAAAGATAAAGATGTAACATTCTACTACTTTGTCTTCCTTCGGAGCTCGTCTCGAATTACGCAGTTTTAATGATTTGCATAATTATCTCGATCTACTACGAGCCATCTACGTAACTATCATCGTGAGAAAATTCGAGCCGTGCTTCCGCAACATCGAGCCACTTCCGGGCTCATGCTGTTTACAATCTCTGGCTCATCGATTTTCCGCGCGCGTCAATACGCTCGCGTATTTTCACAAGAAATATCTCGGGATTTCGCGCCGTTGCGAAAATAGAAAGGAGAAGGGACGACGGAGCGTCGCATCCGGAAGAACGAGGTAAACCTAACTTTCATGAACAAAGACCCGCACCCCGCACACTCTCGTCGTGGTGGTGTGGTGGCGAACTTTGAGGATGTGCTACGCGCTCGCTCGTGTGTCCCGTTCACGCATAACGACACACGCGACAAGTGTGTATGTGTGTATGTGTGCGTCGTTTCCTCCCCTCAGCCGCCTCACTCCGCTGTCTTTCTCTTTTTCTCTTCGCCTCTAACGAAACGTTCCGGACACCTCCAGTGTGTCTGGAGCCATTCACGCCCTGCTGGGTTTCCCACCGGAACCTTTTAAGACCCCACTTCACCCCCGCGGCAGCCGCCGGCGCGAAAACCCTTCGGATCTCGTCGTGTGCAGGAAGAGTCGCCGTGATATGGCCCTGTCCCGCTTCCGCCTCTCGTGCTCCACCTTGTCGTCGATCGTTTCGCGACGCGCTCGTTGGCGAAGCAACCCCTCGAGGAACCTAATGTGTTGGGTTCTACACGCATTCCGAGACGAGCGTTATCCAAATTTTTTATTCGAGCTTGTACTGGTATTTTTTTTTAACAATGGTGGATATTACGTGGATGGACATTGAGTAATTCTGTGCTTTTTTTTTTATTTTTAATGAAAAACTTGTATAGTACAGCGATCGAGAGAATGCCTTAACTAGGAAATTCCTTCATGCTTTATACTTGCGGTTTGTATAATGATATTGTTCAAGTAGATTTCTACTAGTTATGAGAAAAGAAGCACGTGGCGAAAGCTTGATTATACGACGTCATCGACCGGAAAATAGCGGGCATTATTGGCATGATTTCTTGAACGAAACGCATTATAGTCCTGCTTGGCCGCGATCTAATATTAATTTCACGTATGGAAAGTTATATCGCTAAAGTTTTCTCGAATTCATAAACGATCTGTAGTGGTGAGTAATGATTAATAAATTTCTTTTTTTCAAGTTTTTAATAGATGTTTCTGCACACATAAAATTTTGTAATAAATTTATTACATTTAAAAGCAGAAATGTGAGATGAAGTTGGCATTAAAATAAATTTTATATTTTAGTACAAAATATTAAATATTTTTTTTTTTTATAAAAGACGCTTTTAAATTTATATTGAGTTAAATCAGCCGTACAAATGTATGTCACGATTGAAGTATTGTTATCGTATTATCATCATATAATCGATAATTTTCATTATCAAGAAAAAAAACACACCTGAAACGAATGGAATTTTCTAAGAAGAATAAGTCAGCGTCATCTATCGCGATGATTAATCGCGAGATATTCCACTAATAATCTACTTCGCGAAATTGACAAGATTTGTCACTTTGTCGAGATAGAAAGCATTCTTACTTATAACTTTCACCATGTACAACTTAAGTAATGATATTTCTAGCGATAAAGTGATGCAAATGATACAATCAATAAAGAAATGACCGCTAATTTTTATCTTAGAAAAGATTTATAAATATCTCACGCAGAAGAAAATTTTGTAACAAACATTTATTAATTTGCACATGCTTCTGAAAAATATATGAATTTAAATTTTCCAATCTAGTTGCATATTTTTATTCAATTTTAATCATATATTTACGTTTGTAAATACGCTATATTTCACGTAAAACTCTCGCCTCTGTTGCTTATCGATACGTCCACATCATTGTATGCGACTGTGTGGACACGCACGGACGCTCACGTGTGCAAACGAAGGGGGACGAAAGAACCCGGAGAAGCCGAAGTCCTCCAAGAACAGATCTTGTACCTACATGTATCGTTGTGACCAGCCTTTATAAACAGGATTACAAATGTCCGAGTGAAATTGAATAGCAGTTAGAGTTAATCACGCGTCATTGATATTAGTCGATATTTAGTTACGTGCTAACTATTATATCTCTGCTTAATCTATTTGCGAAACACAAATAAACATTCACGCCAAATAAATTTATTCTCTTTTTTTTTTATTTAAAGAAAAACTTAATAATTATAATTAAGTAATTGGACGTTTATCAACCGGTATTTTGCCAAACAGCGGTGTTCGAAATGTTATTTTTATTTGTATTTTTAAAAGACGGATATTTGTAAATTTCTCTCTCTTTTTCTCCATTACGGCGAGTTGGCAGCCACCAATTACGCGGATACAGTTTATACTGAAAAGATGGCGACCGGAGAGAGGTTGAACGTGTGGTCGATCTCTTCTGCTCGCCTTCTTTTCCTCAGAGACTGCTCTTTCCCCAAGCCGCAACTTCTCTCTCCCTCGTGTCGCGCCATGTATCTTTTTCTCTTCACTGAAATCACAACCATCACGACAGTATGGGCAAGAATCTTGACTCTCTCTCTCTCTTCGCCCTCTCCATCCCGACACGACCCCTTGTACGACAACGGCATTACGGGCCCTTGCTCTCTCGACAAATTAGCCATGGCGACTTTTATAACGTGCGGACGGAGGAGGTCTTCAATTAAAATTTAACAGAACGCGGTTCCGGTCGACTTTCTCGTCTCAAACAGTCTGCAAAGTTGTGAAAAACAACGTTGCGGAAAAGTCGAGTCGGAGCCAACTATTCGATGCGACGGTAATTAATTACTCTTTTCCTCTCTCCATTCAACGCAGTGACTCGTTTATATCAAGTTGTTCTAAATCTGCCAAATAAACTGCAAATTGGGGAAGTAGCAAAAATTCTGATACAACATAGAGAGAATTGTTTGCTACGCGATAATTTAATGCGACGGAAATGATAGATATAATGTAGGTAAGAGTTTACAAATTCGGACGAATTGTTAGTTAGCAAGTTTAATGCGGCGTACAAAGAGCGAACCGTCACGAAAGTCGCGGGCATTAAACGGGCACGGACGCGGCAGTTTCGCGTTAATTACGTCCGTCTGAGAGACGCGACAGACAACAGAGAGGAGAGTTCTGCGAGCGTGGCTTTAAAAACGTCACCGCGCGCGGAGGACGGCCTGTCGGAGGGCGGCGAGATTTATTTGAAGCGTTAAAGACTCTGTTAAAGTGGCGGTAACTCGACGTTAAGAAGGCGCGAACGTCGAGTACCGCGGACGACTCGGGGGTATTTTTACGCAGCACGTTGAAGCGTTTATCGACGCCGAGGGAAATTCTTATGAGCGGCTGCAGTCCGCTGAAATTAAACTGGTTGAGGAAAGGTGAAACGTCGCCGTTTCCCACATAATGATAAACCAAATTCTCTCACAGTGGCTCTAAATAATATGACTTCGTTATTCCTCGTTTGTTACGCTTATTATTATTATGTAAATAACGTCATTATATGCGTGCAATAAAATCTGAAAGCCAAATACTTTTTTGTTTACGAGCGTTTATTTGAAGAAATCGCGTTTTTCTCGGTTTGATCGACAATTTCCGC